CTACACACAGATAAAAATGACACGCTTGACAATATATATAATTAGGTGACAGCCAAAGAATGCGAGAGTCGAAGCGAGAGGACAAAGATAAGCTACTTACGCTGAAGCAAAGTTTGATAACAAATATTAGTTTTTGACTCTGTTAACTTAGTGGAGGCTTTAATTCGCAGGGTCTACTTCAACGTTGTGCTGATTTATGTAAACGGGTTGGGATTAGAATATAGTATTTAAAAAGTAGTACTGTTTCTGAACCTTGTCTGTAATAAAGTCACTAGTCCTCGAGTGGATAGATGCTTTTGTGATGCGTGAAACTAGACTAAAATCTGAGCGGAGTTAATACCACACAAAGATTCACACAAAAATCAACACTTTTATGTTGTTGTTTGTGTTCTTAAAATTCTTTATAAAATGGTTTGGATACGTTTCGACTTTTTAATGTTTGTTTTTATAGGTTATCAATGTCGCATACTGCTAATTCATCTACTCACTGGCAGTTAGGGATTACTAATGCTAGGGCTAACCTTCTCTAATTACTAGCAGGAGTGTGCTGTCATAAGTGTCATTGATATTATTCGGTAATAATACACAAAAAAGCTGGGGAAATACTTATTTAAATAAAATTAAAAAAAAATAAAAAAGGAGAAAGAAAATAAAACACAATTGCAGTATTCATATAAGTGTAACATTGATAGTAAACAGTGTTGATAGGTATTATTTGACCCCTGATGTATGGCGGATATGGTAAAATATCCGGGAGCATCTCTGGAGGCTCTCCCAAGATGGCGATTATATGTCGTATATAGTAAAATACTCGGGGCTGCAAAGGGTCGTTAAGAAAACACTGGACTAATAATTAGTCAGGGAAGTTTTCAAAATATGAAAATAGGCCAAATATTGATTATTGTATTTCCCCGTGCGGGTTTTCGAGGCCCTATTATAGGGGAAGAGAAAAGAATAGACCCACTCCCTATCTAAAAGCATGTCGTAAGAGTCGACTATTTGGGGGCTTCCTTCAAAGTCAGAGTGCATCTGTCTTAGAGGCAAGAAACCAACAGTCTGCATACAAATTAGTCAGATCTGTAAAACGGATGCGTGTTCTGGAACAGGTCTGCAGTCCAGAAACGGACGAACAACTAGAACTTTCTCCAAGAGTTTATAGCGGGTGAACGCAAAAGAGAAGAAGATGAACATTGTGATTAATAGCAGGATGAAGGTAATTATTATTTTTTTTTTTTTTGGCAGAGATGTATTCTTAAAAAAAAAACTCTTCTGCCTTTGCCCTTGCTAGGTTGTTATAATTAGGGTTACGACTTGATTGTTAACCGGAGAGGTTAACCACAACCACCCCCCCCCTCCCCTCCGTTCCCATCTGAGGCATCCTTGAACAGTCGACGTTTTTGGTATCCTCGTTGGAAAACACAAAAATAACTCTTATAGCAAAATATTTTTTACAAACTGTATATATATTAGTTGAGCAAATGCTCTGATAACTGTTGGTTAACTTCATTCTACTAGTGTCAAACATGGACCCTCACCACAAATAATGATTGGAAACCAAAACTGAGATGAGATGTTTCAGGAAAGCTGATGGAGTAACAAGAAAAGATAAAAACTAAAAATTAAGAAAATAAAAGAAGACTAAGACTGTAATTATTTATACTATTGTGTTTACAATTTGTTATAAGTAGTATTGAGAAATACTTGTGAAGAGAGTATAGTCAGATAACCGTCTTTTGTTAGATGTGTAGAAACAGATAAGAGATTGATAAAATCAGGGGAATATGGTACCAGACGTTTCTATGTTAGACAGTAATATTTTAAAAAGTGTTAAAATCAATCAAAAGATATATGGGGTTAGACTGATGCATCTTATATAGCAATATATTTAAAAATTATATAAAAACAAAAACTTTTATTAGTAATAATAAGTAAAACATGCATTGTATTTTTTTCCAAAAAAAAAAAAAAATCATTGGATGTCATATTCTCTATAACATATCGATAATAACTCAAACACTAAACAGTTAAGGCTTGAATAACGGGTGTTTTCACTCGTGTCAGAACCGAGTATTTCGCTAATAACTCGGATACTAATAAAGATACGCCAACGAAATTTGGAGTGGACTTATCTCCGTTTATGCAAAGTCAGATGACGTCATAGCGTGCTGGAAACGGCCACCATTAGCGTCCAGGAAGCATTGGACGCGGTGTTGCTTGTCGTGGAAAGTCCGTCTCAGTACGTCAGATGTCACTGCTTGGATGGCCGCACTGATGTTTGCTTTTAAGGCCTATGTGGTCTGTTTCAATTTCCAGCATCTATTATGGTGTCACGCGACTTCGCATGAAAGGAGGCAAGTCCACTCCAAACTTCGTTGCCATATCTTTATTAATGTCCAAGTTATCAACGAATTACTTGGCTCCACCACGAGTGAAAAACCCATTAAAAAGACGAAATTGTAAGAAATAATAATATGATCCGTTACTTCCCGTCCTTTTTAGGATGAAATATTTCGTTATTTGAAGCCCTACTCTGGCTCTTGCCAGGGGCCGCAATATAGCCCGACCATAAATTATAATACTTGGGATTCTTTCATTTCTAATTATTAGTTACCACAGACTGACTGAAGGATGCAAAACATAAAATGTTTTTAAATGTTCACTATTCTCTACGAATACTAACTAGACATGGAAAGAATATAAACTTCGGCCACATCCAAGTCGATAATATGAAAATCAAACGAACGGAAACATATATGTATTTGGGTGCAAACTTCAACTGCTCCAACATGCTGAGAGAAGAAATACAATCCAGAATACAATCTAGAAATCAAGTATACTATGCCCTTCAACATCTGCTAAAGTCAAAGTGTCTGTCTCGCAACACCAAGATCAAAACATATAAAACATTTATGAGACCAGTCGTTTTATATGGCACTGAAACTTGAAGCAGAAATAAAAGAGATGAGGCCTTATTACAGGTTTTCGAAAACGGTCTTATGACAAATCTTTGGACACATCAAAGATGCTAACAGCAGGGAATGGAGAGTGAGAAGCAACAACGTAACACATAATCTGTTTAAATCACCATTGATCACTGGCACAATGAGAGCTAACAGACTAAAATGGTTGGGGCATATTAAAAGAATGTCAGATGACAGAGAAGTAAAAACTGTACACACTTGAGAGAGGAATGGGCGTAGACCGCAAGGCAGACAAAAAAGAAGTTCGAGAGATAATGTCCAGCTAGACCTGTAAACTGGTGTCACAAATTGTGAAGATGTGTATGTGTGTGTGTGTGTGTGTGTGTGTATTATGTGTGTATATATGTACGTGTGCACGCGCGTGTATGTGTGTGCATGTAAACTATTTGTTTCCCTGTTCAAAACCTATATTTCGGTCTTTACGTCAATGCGCGTACCAGTTTAAGCATGTTGATTCGCACATTTATCATTCTTTTGAGTGTTTTCATGTAGTGCGCTGATTAAAAAGTTTTCGGTGCTGGCTTTTTCATAGTTTGTTGGATATTTTTCATGGACGCCGACAAAACTAGCTTCATCTCCTAGCTGTAACCCGTTTTCTTCCAAAATTATTGGAATTTTAAAATAAAGGAGAGCTGTAAATGGGATTACTTCCCCAGCTTGATACATTTGAGTCACATTAGGTGTTATCTTGCTAGGGCTGTCCACTTTTGCTATGTCAGATGTGATTATCCCTTCTTCACAGCTGTAAACTTTGAAGCTGTTAACTTTAACTGTGTCAGATGTGATTATCCCTTCTTCACAGCTGTACACTTTGAAGCTGTTAACTTTAACTGTGTCAGCTGTGATTATTCCTTCTTCACAGCTGTAAACTTTGAAGCTGTTAACTTTAACTGTGTCAAATGTGGTTATCCCTTCTTCACAGCTGTAAACATTGAAGCTGTCAAGTATGTCCGTGTCAGATGTGGTTATCCCTTCTTCGCAGCTGTACACTTCAAAGCTGTCAACTTTAGGGGTGTCAGATGTGGTTATCCCTCTGAAACCCTCAACTTCACCTGGGTCAGCCGTAGCTAACTCTTCGTTAGAGCTTTCAATTTTAACTGTCTCAGCTTTAGATGACGCTCGTTTAAAGCTGTCAATTTTAGCTGTGTCAGCTGTAGTTATCTCTTGTTTAAAGCTGTCAACTTTAGCTGTGTCAGCTGTAGTTATCTCTTGTTTGGAACTGTCAACTTTAATAGTGTCAGCTGCTGTAGTCATCTCTTCCTTACAACTGTCAACTCTTCTGGTGTCCGCTGTAGTTATCTCTTGTTTAAAGCTGTCAACTTTAGCTGTGTCAGCTGTAGTTATCTCTTGTTTGGAACTGTCAACTTCAATAGTGTCAGCTGCTGTAGTCATCTCTTCCTTACAACTGTCAACTCTTCTGGTGTCCGCTGTAGTTATCTCTTGTTTAAAGCTGTCAACTTTAGCTGTGTCAGCTGTAGTTATCTCTTGTTTGGAACTGTCAACTTCAATAGTGTCAGCTGCTGTAGTCATCTCTTCCTTACAACTGTCAACTCTTCTGGTGTCCGCTGTAGTTATCTCTTGTTTGGAATTGTCAACTTTAGCTGTTTCAGCTGTAGTTGTCTCTTGTTTGGAACTGTCAATTTTAGCTGTTTCAGCTGTAGTTATCTCTTGTTTGGAACTGTCAACTTTAACTGTTTCAGCTGTAGTTATCTTTTGTTTGGAACTGTCAACTTTAGAAGTTTCAGCTGTAGTTATCTCTTGTTTGGAACTGTTAACTTTAGCAGTTTCAGCTTTAGTTATCTCTTGTTTGAAACTGTTAACTTCAGATGTTTCAGATGTAGTTATCTCTTGTTTGGAACTGTCAACTTTAGCTGTTTCAGCTGAAGTTACCTCTTGTTTGGAACTGTCAACTATAGTTGTATCACCTGTAATTATCTCTTGTTTGGATCTGTCGACTTTAGCTGTGTTATCTGTAGTTATGTTCTCTTTAGTATCATCCACTTCAGCTGTATCAGCTGCACCAGCAATGTTTGTTTCCAATTTCTGCTTTATTATACACGCCTGCTGCCGTTTTACACGTCTGTGCCTGTATTGTTGTACCTGGTATGTGGCATCGAATTTACGATCGGAGTAGTCCTCAATGTGCGCCGATAAAGGCAATTTGTTGTTGTCGTCACTTGTATCTGCTGATAAATATTCATAGCTGCGAGCATCAGGGCTCGTTGTAAACGGGTGTGAATCAAAAAGACAGGCAGCGTCAACATCATACTTTAAATACGTTTTCAAATCAAAATCGTGAAGTGGATTATCTTGTACTTCTTCTTCATTATTATTAAGATGATTGATATTTATTTCCTGTTTGACATTGCCTAGATGTGTGGTGTATTTCGTTTCTGACAGTCGATTCTCAATTTGGCCATTTGTGTTACAAATGAAGATGTCGTTATCAAGATCTGCCCACAAATCGTTATTCTTCATGATGTGCTTGCAGGTCTCCTGTAGGCAACTTTCGGTGTGTTTCATCCCGGCAAGTATTTCTTCAAGTAGTTCCTTTTTCAGCTTCCATTTATTTTTCTTTCTCATGAGTTTCACTTGCATATCGTGCAGTTTCTCGTTCTGTAGAAGGAAAACAAAGAGCCACATTGAAATACATACAAGTTATTCAATACCCTTTACATGTCGTCGGGAACAGACCCCAGCTTAAATTGTCTGCCTGTGGCTTTACTGTTTACCCGTACAGCACTACAGGTAAATTGTCCCGGTTGGGACAGTAATTTGGTCTGTCTCCTTTGATCGTCGGCTCTGTGGCTAAGTCGATGCGAACGCTTCGTAATGCCATGATGCCGGGTTCGATCCCAGCTGCGGGCCCATTCTCCTTGTGTTGGTTTTTACTGGACGTAAATTTGCCTAGAAAAACCACACAACAGCCAGGGGCTGTTGGGGTTGGTTCTGCAAAGTCCCGTAAAGGATACGCAACTAACCTCCTTTGATCGCATTAATACTGCAGGAGTCCTTTTCAGGGCTCTTGGTGGACTGCAAAAGTAATTGGACACAAAGTAATTTTATATGGTGCAAAAAAACCTAGTTACATTTATAACCTAAAGCTATTCACTGAGGGATGTTGGTTTAACAGGACGATTTCATATGGTGCAAAAAAACCTAGTTACATTTATAACCTAAAGCTCTTCACTGATGGATGTTCGTTTAACAGGACGATTTTTTTTAGTAAAACAAATTTTCAGAGATATTTAAGCCTTTGATGATTCCATACTTTCTTCGATGTTCAGTTCTTGCATAGTGGCCAGCCACACTCCAACTGCAGAGTCAATATTTGACAAAGAAAAAATAAGGTTTGATAGTTAACAAGTGTTTGTGTGTGTGTGTGTGTGTGTGTGTTTGTGTGAGTGTGTGTGTGGGGAGGGAGGGCGGGGTTGTTTGTGTGTGTGTGTTTGTGTGGGGGAGGGGGGAAGGAGGGGGTATAGGGGGTAAACAAAGAAGATTTAACATCAGGCACAATATACAAATGGCTTATTTACTTTCTCTCTGGCCTGATTCAACTGGGAAAGTGGAGGTGATGATCTTCCACTGGATGAGGTGTTTGTTTCTGGTGAGTCCGGTGTGCATTCTGATTCTGGCTGTTGATATAAAGGGATAAATAAAGAATGTTAATACTGACAATGATAAATAGTTCTTGTTGATATGAAGGAAAGGATAAGGATTGTTAACATGAATAATGGAAAATATTGGTTGTTGATAAGAGACAACAAAACAATGGGAAATATTGTAATAAGAAGAAACTCCACAGGGGAGCGTGTACAGCAGGGGGTCTACCAATCGTCAGTAGAAGTAAACTCTCATCGACAAATGTTTCGGCCCACGAGCTGCTAGACATTTTCAGAGAGTGGGCCCACCTGAGTTCATGAGGCTCAGGGTTGATTTTCTCCTGATGCACGTATTACCGGATGCTTTCGGACAGGAAGACCGATAAGAGGAGATAGATCAGGAATGTTAATATGGGCATTTGGAAAACGGCACTCATAGATGTAGATGTTTATGTTATTTAGAGTGAATTTATTTATCAGAAGGAATTAGCAATAATGATTACATTAGTGAACAGAACGTTAATGCGTACGTTTATTACATGGTTCACTTCTTGTTCCCTGTGACCTGTATCCTCCATGGAAGAATAGGGCCTCAGAAACTCACGCTAAATCGTCCTCTCCTTTGATATATTATGTAGGTAACTCCATATCCTCCCAGTTGTTAACTTCGCTTTCTTGCTGTCACTGTGTTTTTGGTCTGCCTTTTTTTTTACTTTGCCCTGGTGGGTTCCAGCACAGAGACATTCTGGTTATGTTCTCAGGTGTTATCAATGTGAATCTTATCTAACATCATAATTTCTTTGTATTTTGATTCACCGGAATTTGATTAGTTTGAGACTCAGCATAAGGAACTCCATCATACCATGTCATTCCTTCTATTCTGCGCAGGCTCTAGTTGATGAATGTTTGTAGTTGGTTACCAACTGTTTTAGTTGATCTTCGTGTTTCTGCTCCATACAGTAGTAATGATTAAGCATTGGAGCTAAATATTTTAAATGCAGTACTAGTTGTAATCTCCTGTGACCTCCACAGTTTCCCTAGTGCAGTGAAAGCTAATCTAGCCTTTTGCAGTTGCATTGTAATATCTCTATCAGTTCTTTAGTCTTTATCTACATTCCTGCATAAATAATAGCATGACCTCACATCTTAGCGTTGCACATTACAAAGATAAATTGGATTTTTTGTTTGGCTGATTTATTCTCGTTGTATTTTTTTTTTTAAACTTGGATGTTGTGTTCTCTCATCAAGTGTGTTTAATGCTGTGTGATGTATTTATATTTCTGATTTCTTTTTAAACTGCCTCTATTGTTGTTAATTAGAGAACACACACTTTCACAGTTATGTTCCTACACACGGTATTTCTTTTCCCTTTCAGCCTCTCTTTCTTGTACCGCTGCTTGAATTTGTAACTTGGATTTTTGCCGTATCTTCTAACTGACATTTCTTGTAAAACGCCTCTCTAAATGTATATGCCAGCGACAGCTGTGTAATAATACAGAACGTTATACTATCTGTTATCCCCGTATGGGTTTCATGACCCCATTTTGGGTGCGAAATATAGACATAATGACCCCTGATAAGCATATTATAAGTGGATACTAATTAAGGGTGTGCTGAAATAGGATGCATTTGGCTGAAGGGCGCAGATATCGCAGCTTAACTGTACACTGCAACACAACGAACGATTCTTATAATTATTACAATTATAAGTTATCATTATTGGTAATCAGAAGCACTTTTTTCAATAACATGACATAATAAACAATGTCTGCTTATAATAATCAAGTATTGAACTGAATTCATCACTTTATATTGGATGTATAAACTATAAAAAGGACCTTTGACAGCAGTTGAAGCTGATAAGCAGTAAGGGATCATAAAGAAAGTTATTCATTTAGTAAATACAACATATTAGGTCATGACATGTCGTATTCGTCATAAGGGAAAACTAACAGATTCATTTGAATTAAGAACAGCTGTGCGACACGAATGCATCTTGTTACCTCTAACATTTTTTTTTACCGACCATTGACTAGATTATGAATGAAGACAGCAACAGCTATCACTAAGTCTGTATGGATTCAGTCGGTCCGTACAGAACAGCCTGATGTTTTAGACTTCATCTGTTATATTTCTCTTCTATTCCTCTCACGGATTCTTCCCGGGCTATATAACACGAAGTCCAGTAGTGCACGAACAACCAAAACGTACCTCCAGAAAGAACAGCCGGTGAACGCTGATAATAGGAAAATAGGGGCTTTTGAGTTGAAATGTTATAGAGGGTTTCTAAGAATGCCTTGGACAAAATAAAAATAAAAATAAAAACACTGATATATTAAAAGATCTGAACATCAATGAAGATTGGCTAATAGACCAAATCTCACATCGGAGGCTGAAATATTTTGGTCAAACCAAGCCCATAGGCGAACTGAAAAAAGTTAATAATAGCAGTAGGTATGGTACCAGGAAGGAGGAGCAGGGGACGACCAATGCGAAGATGGGCACATGATATATGCGACTCCTTGGATATAAAAGTGCACGAGCAGGAAAAGGGTCGAGAGACGAGTTTCTTTCAAGCAGATGAGAGCGAGTTCTGCGCAGGACCTGCTACATGATGACGATGATTAAGTTCATGATGATGATGGTGATGATGATGATATTATTAATAATAATAATAATAATGAAGGAGGAGGAGGTGGAGCAGGAACAATCAAACCTATTGAGAAAGGAAGATCTTGTTGATGTCTCAGGAAAGTTAATTATTTTCCTTACCGATTGAATTCCTTTCCCCATGTCATCTGTTGCTTGGGTTGAAGTTCCATTTGGTGGCATGATTTTCAGTTGTGTATTGGCGCATATGTGCTGTCTGGAAAAGATTATTATAAAATTCAGAGAATTTAGCATTGTGTACTATATAGAGAATAGAATAAAAACTTCATTTATATAATAGAATATAGTTGCTTGTTACTGAGGGACAGAACAGTGACTTTAGTCTGTTTATAGATACGAATATAACTATGATTTATTCAGAGTACGAATAAAGACTACAATTCTATTAGAAAAAAGGAAAATAGACTAAAGTTTATTTTGAGAAGGATTTATAGACACATTTATTCAACGAACAAAATACTGGTATGTTTATTAACAGGATGGGATATTAAAGTTCATTTAGAGAAAACATAATATTAATTACTTTATTTAGGGACTTAAAATTTAAGACTGTAGTTTACACAGAGAACGGATCAATATATTTTTAAAAATTCAAATATAGAGGAAAACTGAATTTTCAGTAGCTTAGAGAACAGATAAGGCTTAAGAACAGGTGTGCGACACCAATGCATCTTGTCACCTATGACATTTTGTTTTTTACCGACAATAGACTAGATTATGAATAAAGACAGCAACAGCTAACACTAAGGCTGTATGGAATTCAGTGGGTCCGTACAGAATAGCTCTAAGAGAAAGCAATTCAACCTTGCTTGTGTGCTTCTCACAACAACAACAACAATGTAAATATTTTAACCTGATAGACAAAGGTATAAGCTAATACCCTTCTACAGTTTCCAAAAATCGGTACTATCAGTTAGTTAGTCTTTCCTCTTGTGTCGAGTGCGGCACATAGGGCAGAGGTCATGACTCTCCATGCATGGCGGTTCGTTGCAATCTGTTGTAGGTCTTGGATGTTTGAGTAGGCCATGAGTGAGCCTTCCCTGATGATAGTTCTACGTAGGGTTTCCCTTTTTCTTCCACAAGATCTTTTCCCCTGTGGTGTCCAAATGAGGGCTTGGTAAGGAAGTCTTGATTTATCCATTCTAATGGCGTGGCCGACATAGTTCCAGCGGCGTTTTCGTATAAAATTAGACACATACTCTTGCCTGGATTCTTGCCTTATTTGTGTATTGGTTCGGAAATCTGACCATTTGAAATTTAGTATTACTAGGGTCATTTATTTCTGAGTTAATAGCACAAAGTAAGGATACTTGTCGCTATATCCCATAATCACGTGGCATCGTATACTGAAATCCATGTGATTTGAAATAATTTCTGGCCTGTGAATACCTTAAACAGGTTGCATCTATCTTAATCGGAGGGAGTGGAATTAGGCTTCTTGAGCTTACCCCCAAACTTATTCACCCCCGCTCCCTCTTCCCCGTTAGAAATATTGACACAAATGTTCACAGATATGTATCAGAAAATATATTAGGCTAAGCATGTATGAAAGTTATATTTATACGTTTGTATTTACACATTTCGAATATATTATTATATTTACTTGTTACTTAACTCATTGTTATTGTCAGCATCATTATTACGCACTTAAACAATGCGTAGGCTCCCTTGAACCCCTCCTCGAGAAAATGTATGCTAAAACTGAGAGATCTCCAATCCCTCTCGAGCACTTCAATGTTTTCTTTGCGTCGGCGTATTCTTAGTATAAGGCAATTACCTTTAACAGCTTACAAATCCATGTGCGATTTATTAAAGAGACCCTATAGTGCAAGACCTCAATGTTACAGACCAATCAACACTCGATGTTGTTAACTAATACATCGACCGCCATTACTTCCCAGGACATTGCCTGGTACCTATTTAAGGTTGAGTTGGTCTGGTAGCCAAGTAATTTTTTTAAAGAAAAATCTGGCTCGATGCGCATTTGAACCTACAACCCTCGTCCCGAGGCGAGCCTCTAGACGCTACACCCCAGCGGCTGCTGTAGGTTCTGATAACCCATGAGCTATAACGTATCTAATTGAGACTTCCTGAGAAATCTATCTAGGTCATGTAACTTACACACAGCATATCACTGGAGCTAAAAATACCAGTATCCAAAAGCTACGACCATTTTCTTTGTCACGAAACATACTGGTATATGAGGAAAAACAGCATATTGTATTCGCCAATCGGCACTTAGCAAAGGTTGCGGCCAATACAAAGTGGACCTCCTTTACTTCCCGGAGCAGTTTCTTATAGCAATTTTAGACTGGGGCAAAATACTTAAAACCAGTTTTCTGTCTCCTCGCGGATTTTAATACATGGCTGCTGAGTGGTGGACAAGCGTCCTAGCAGCTGAGCCACTCATGGATTAACACATCTTTATTTTTTTTACCCAGTCTTAGCCACAAGCATGTTGAGTTTGATGCTCTATTTACAACTGACAACTGCTAAAGTCTGTCTGATAAACGTCTGTCCGGTGAACCAACCGTCCACTTGTCACTCTAGTCGTGCAGGTCGTTGTGGTCTCTCTAGGCGAAGTTTACGTTCAGTCGCTTGCCATTGCTTTTTAAACGGGCAGCTCTTGATATCTTTGTCGAACACAGCGCAAGACAAATCGCCTGCAGCAGGGATCGAACCTGCCCCCCCCCCCCAGCATTACGAAGCGCATTCGCAACGCCTTAACCGCAGATGCTTAGGCGCTTAATTTGCTACCGCAGCGACGATTGATACTTATCACTATAACCTCACTTCTTGTTGAAAATCACCGTAACGTCTTGCACGATTGTCGGACTATCGCAGCAGAAGTCCCATGATTGTTAGTCACCGGAGATTCTCTAGGGAGGTAAACGGGCCGAACAGTTGTTGAAGATAGGTAAACTTCTGAAGATCGGTAAACTACTGTTGTGCGTGCTCCCAATTCCAATCCCTTTTAAAGAAAAAAATCAAAAACTCAACAACCACGTTCAAACTTCTGCTAGCTAGCCGAAGCTGCCAACAGTTTCCGGTTATATTTGTGGTTCTTTTTTATTTGCGCCACTTTCGTGGCAACATTTTTAGTACTTGTGCCATCTCTGGGCTTAATGTTTCTTTCCTCCACGTCAGACCACTCATTCCCTAACCTGCTGTCAGTTTAGTTCTTCTTGCCCTGTCATTTCTAATGTTTCCTCCTTGCTTTTAGCTTCTTCTGATTTGGCTAGGCGTATATCGTAGGAGAGCGAGCTTCTCAAAATAACATCCTTTGGACCACCATGTGGAGTTATTCTTTATTATATTATACAGAGAAGAAAGTTACGGTTTATTGGCTGCTTCACTATCGTTCACAATTTACCAAGAACATTGGTTAACGACAGTGGGATCCAACTGTCTTTACAACGCAACGCCTTTACTTAATTTACTGTATCATTCTCAAACATATTAACCATCGTTGAATTAACCACATCACCAAACAAGTACTATACTAATACAAATATAGTGCTGGCAAAGTATGCTCAACAAATCCCTGGGCGTGAGCAAGTCCACAGCTTGTACTTGCCTAAGCAAGGCAGAGAATGACTAGCTGAATATTAAACGTAGTCTTGTTGTCGCTATCGCTGTTGTGTGTGAAATTATGACGATGTTCCCTTAATATACCCAGTTGCAATCACCATTGATGCGGGAATTTCGGACCTGATAACATAATCAGGGTAAGTGACACACATCAAGTTTTCAGTAGAAGATTTTCCCCATGTGACCCAAAAATTGATTTTCTCGAAATGTATTACCAGACTCGTCAGGAAAAGCTTAGCCGACTCAGGTGACAAAGTCTGGATAGACAAACCCACCAAGCTCTGTGCAGCCGTCATATATATATATATATATATATATATATATATATATATATATATATATATATATATATATATATATATATATATTGTGAGAGCAAAAATTTGATTTATGTAGGAGATTATAATCCAGCTGAACTAAGAATACAAGGATTCGACAGCAGACACTGCAGAATCATAAACTCAACAAGTGCTTCATGACAATTCCTGTGCACATAATGCGTGGGTGTTCGTTGCCAAAGAGAATGGAGGTCGTTTAGTTCCACATAGTTTAGTATATTATACTATAACATCTAGTTTGAGAATGGAGCTGGAGGCAGCCACATCATCTTTCCGGTCTGAAAACAACACGCAAACGCAAAATATGCTGAGAGGAGGAGGAGAAAGTCATGTTCCATGCTGTGTGGCAAACATCGTTCATTACGGTCTTGAGAGAATGGTTCTGATGAGACTGACCTTGGGGACGTCATTCTACACGCAGAGAAAAAGTAAGACGGACATACAATTAGACTCCTAATGGTACTATTATAATGGGAAATATTTTCTGGCTGCTGAAGATGAGGACAGAGCGCTTATTGAAATGACTCGAGTGCTGTGATTTCGGTTCTTAAATCAGCTCAGTACACACAACTCAGCTTTCAAAGGTGACAGCTTTAGTGTTTTATTTTAATCTCATTCTATGAAATCTCACTAATGTTTGCAATGTTATTGAATACTTGTCTGTTCAATAAAAGCGTGTTCCGTAAAACGTTAAGATATGAGATATCTATTTATGTGTTGTTGAATGTTGCCAGCAATACCAAAATATTTATGTACGTTCCTCTGGTGTTGATATACAGATAGTTGAACCCAGTATTAACCAGTATATTTGTATATGCTGTAGATTTTATTTAAAAAAAAAAAAACGCTTTTCAGTTGCCCCATTGATAATGAATATTATTAGATTATAAACAGCATATTCATACCAACACTGTGCTACCAGTGTCAGACCTTGACATTTCAAAGGCTAACCAACGTAAAATTAATACCTGCGAAATCACATGCTTAAGAAAAGCCGCCAACTTAACCACCCGAGACAAAGTTAGGAATGATATTATCAGACAGAGTATAGGAACAACACCATGCAGCAAATTTATTGAGAAACAGGAGATCAACTGGTTTGGTCCTTTAGTAAGAATGTAGCCAGAACAACTACCAGTGCAGGCGCTACACATGAACATATCTAAAGTGAAATCAAGAGGCCGCCCTAGTACAAATAGACTGATATCATCACAGAGCTTCTACATCGACACA